AAGTATATTAAAATAATTATCAAGGATTGCTTCAAAATAGCAAATAAATAAAATCCTTGATGCACTTGGATGACATTCAGTAGATGTTGTATGAAGAGTATAAGAGAAATAAAGGCGAAAAAGAAGAAAAACATCAGTAAGAAGATAAGCATATATCCATTGCATTGATGCTTGTCGAATAGATGAAGAAAAAAATAATTGAAACCAAAATACTGCATGAATAATGGAAGCTGTAAGACAGATGCCAAGTGCAGCTTGTTCATCATCAACGACATCTCTACTCCATAAGAGTGGCGCAGGACATGATTCATTTGTATCATTTGAGGATATTGTCTGTATTAGTATGTTATTCATCTATAAAGAGAATAATCTTCTAATTAGAGTATGAAAACTATGATCAAAATGGTGGTATGTTGACAGTTCTGATGTGTAGCGAAGTATGTCAACAGTAGTACAATTAAACATGTAAGATGAAATAGTTTTTATTTTTAAAATATTCAATCAAAGATATTCATCTATTTAAAGATGTCAGTATTTTTATGTTCATAACAATTAAGATCGTCTCCTTTTTTTACATAAAATGTAATTTATTTTCGTACGATCTTATATACAAAAGCAATACATATAAATCATTAGTTATTTTTTTATGATCGATAATGTCTCGCAACATGATTTGATAAAGAAAGACTTTAGTCTCGCTATGTATATAAACTAAAGCAATATATGATAGTACTATCAGTTAACGCTATATGTAGGATCATTCAATCAAAAAATGAAAACAAAAACTTAAATCTAAAGTCGAATATATTAGACATAAGCTTTCTATCTACATATTAACAATAATAATAGGAGAATACCTTCTATAAAACCAGAACTTGGTTCAACGAATGGATTTTCTATGACTGCAAGTTTTATTCAAATTTCAGTAAATGCAAATCTGAATGCATAATCTATTTATCGGTACCTTATATATATGAATCTATGGGTGTGGATGTGTCTGAATGTATCGGTCTTTGTTTGTAACTTAATTAATTGTCAGCCACATCGCATACCCTAATTCGATTACTCTTTTACATTTTTAATAATACGTAATAGCAGTTTTAAGTCTAGAAAGATGAAAACTACTTTAAAAGGTTCATTTATAAGTACTTTTTCCTGCTCAAACTTTACTTTTGGCAGTACTTTATAATCGTTTTTCTTTCTTACATGGATTCCACTTCCTGTAAATTTATTTCCTTTCTTAAATTCGTAATAAAGCTCTATAAAGACATGTGGGGCAAATCGAGTGACTTGTTTTTTTCTCTTTCATACTCTATTTCTGGCACTTTAGACGTTAGAAAAACATTTTCTTCCCAGAGGATGTGAAGGGAACATTTTTCTTCAATTTTCAGTGTTTAGATTTTCAAAATCTTGTCGGAAACAGACTCTATACCAATTTTTCCTAGAGCTTAGTAGCGTTCTAGATTTATCCCGTTTT